CGTGTAATCTGGAACAACATTATTGTATAATACTGTATAAGTAGTATTGTGTAATGAACTTGAAGCATTGTGTATTTAACTCAAAGTTTGCTACAATAGGCTCCATTCTTAACTAAGGGTCGTCCTTAAACTGGGAGTTCTTAACCTGGGGACTATCTGTAATATTTAAAATAAAGACCTGGTTCTTCTCATTTATCGCAAGTCAGAAGAAGAATTACCACTAAGGGAAAAAATGTAAAATACTGTTTACATATGTTTTCTTCATAAAAGGTTGCAAGACTATTTTTTTTTTAAATGAAAAGTTAGAATCTTAGAGGAGGAAAGTCCCCTACAGTCTAGCTACCGATCATTAGGGACATACCATGCTTGGCTATCTTATTTATAAGATATGCCAATATATCTATGATATAATATTTCTATTATTGTTAGTTGCAAGCCCACCCCAATTCCCCCCCACCCACCATTTTTTTCTCACCTTTTGCAAAAAGTCGGAAACTCTCAACATATGGCTGAATTGGAGATTCTGTGCTTGATCCATTTACTGTAACAGTCGCAGGGTATTGATTGACCGTCACAATAGGGAAGTAGCAACCAGCGTGTCTCCCAGACATGTTACTTATGTAATGTGGACACTCATTTTCGTTAGCCCTGTTTATGCCAAAAAAAAATTTATGTAAAGCCAATCAGACACAGTATACTTTCAACCAGATTTTTTTTTCAGTTTATTAAATGAAAATGCATTACTTTTGATATGCTAAGTACAGAAAATACTGGGTATCTGAAGGAGCATTTTTGCCAGCATTCCAAGTACAATTCATAGTAGGGGCCTTAAATGGATATGAGCGAACAAAACAGGAGAGGTTTTCAACAGATGTTCCATTCATACCTAGAAATAAGTAAAAGTTGAGAAATTAAATATTCAGGGCAATATGTTAAATGATATATAAGGATCAGTATAAGCTAGAAGCCTTTCAGCAAATTCCAGAAAAATTAACCTTTTTTTTTCATTTGTTTGTTTTGATAGACCAAAGCTGAAATTTCAGAACTCTGCAAGATCATGCTTTCTAATTTATTTATGCTCAAATATTGTATGCTACCTGCTCATACGACTCTAAGTAATAGGATGTCTGGAGTTTTTGATTAATATTTTTAAAG